TTTTGTTTTAGAAAAGTTAGCATGGTGATAACCTAATTTTAAGAAGTCACTACTATGCTAACTTCTCTAAAACAAAAAAGAATTTTGATTATTTTTAATAGTAAAGTCCTACAACCTAAATAAAACTTTCAATATATTCCTTTTTTGTTTATTCATAGTAGTTTTATTTTTTTTAAAAAGTACTTCAAACTGTATAAATAATGTAAAATTAATTTGATTTAAACTGCCAATCAAACGAATGTCTGCCTATGAGGTAACAGTGTATTTTTTTTATTTATTAATATACTATAATAATAATTTTTTAATATTAAAATACGGTTTGTTTATAACTTTATATTATATAGTTAAATTTTATATATTAAAATTGGCTATTTTATTATTTATTACAATATTATAAGGCCATACAAATTTAATTACCTGGTTTTCATACCGTGTTGGCGCGTAATAACGCACATGGGCGTTATTTCGAAACTCTCATTTTTTGAAAATTGTTTTTTTGACTCAAAATAACGCCATGCGCGTCCAAAATAACATGCCACCTTAAATGTACCATATTACATATTTTTCAGGTTAAGTCCATTAATAAAAGTAGGGCTTCCTTTTGTAACCCAAATTTATCAAAATGATTCGAATTACCGCGCATGCGCGTCCCAAAATAACGCGCGGGGTCTCGAAATAACGCGCAGATGCGCGTTATTACGCGCCAGTACGGTAACATGAAATTTTAAAAATAGACCCGACCGGCCGGCTTTTTATTTAAAAAATTTCATATATAAAATTTTATAAAATTTATATAAAAAATTTTTTAAAACCCACCCGGTTATTAAAACATGCAAAAAAATATTTTTGGAAGTTTTCAAATTTTGACCTGGCCGGGTTATGAAAACCAATTAATTAATTTTGCATGGCCTAACTAATTTAAATAAAAATTTATATATCAGATATATAAATTGTAGAATACAGTATATAATTACAGAATTATGCAAAAATTAAAATATTTATATTATTTTGGATTAACTAGTAATAAAATTTACTAATGCTTATTTATTACAATATACAGTAAGGTCTTCCTAAATGCACACTCTATAAGTGAACGCCCTATGTAAATTCTCTCTAAATGCACGGCATAACTTAGCCCTAACTTATAAGAGCACTATATATTTTGTTCTCTATAAATGCACACTCTCTTTAAGTGCACGGTTTGCTTTTTTTTTTTTACTATGGTCCCGAGGGGGTGCACTTAGGGAGGTCTTACTGTATACTGTATAGCAAAATAATAAAAATATAATAATTTTTTTTAGGAAATTGATATTTCCACATCATTTTTTTTAATGCCACACCCTCGCCGATCACTCTAATTTTTTTAAAAACTTTAATTGAGAAATCTCGACATACATCTAATCAAATTCGTTGAACTTTTTTTATTTTAATTGTAGAAATCTGTAGAATATAAAAAAAAAAGTTATCAAATTTGATCAGCGGACGCCGAGATATCTTCGATCAAAGTTTCACAACAATTGATAGACGTTCAAAATTTACAAAATCTTTGGTCGAGGATATCTCAACAACTACCTGACTAAATTCGACAAACTTTTTCTTATTTTAATTGCAGAAATTTGTAGAATTCAAAGAAAAAAAGTTCATCGAATTTGATCAGGTGGATGCCGCGATATCTTCAATCAAAGCTTCACAACCTGCAACGCGGCTTCTATTTGATAGACGTTAAATTTACAATACTTTGATCGAAGATATCTCGACGACCGCCTGACCAAATTCGATGAGCTTTTTATTTTAATTGTAGAAATCTGTAGAACTCAAAAGTCTGTCAAATGTGATCAGGTAAATGTCGAGATATCTTCGATCAAAGTTCAAAAAAATTGTAAAAATTAGAATGATCGGCGGGTGTGGCATATCAATTTCCTATTTTTAAGATTAGTAAAAAAAAAGCAAAATGTGCACTTAAAGAGTGTGTGCACTTATAGAGAACAAAATATAAAGTGCTCTTATAAGTTGGGGCTAAGTTATGCCATGCAATTAGAGAGAATTTACATAGGGAGTGCACTTATAGAGTGTGCACTTAGGGAGGTCTTACTGTAGTAAGCAATAAATAAATAGCTTATTTAAATATCTCAATTGTCAAATAATAGGCATACGTACTAATCTACTAATCAACTTAATTAAAAAGAAATTGGTATGCTTATTTTAAATTTTCGAATAACGAATAGCTTGACTTATAAATGAACATTATTGATTAAGCTGACGAGACAGGAAGGGTTTAGGAAAATGAATATTTGCTATAAACCGGGTTCGATTTCTGGTCGAATCACTAATCAATTCGGATCGGCCAATCAGAGGTCACTGAACATCACTGAAACTTCTATTCCAATGATAAAAAATATTCACTGGAACGATCCTGTGACATTCGGTCACTGGAAGTAATTATGCTGGTGAAATATAAATGTCATAGATAAATTAGTCTAAGCCTCATTCTTGTAAATATAGTGTTAGTCCTAAAAGGGAGCCAAAATTTGTAAGCGTGCCGAAAAACAGGTGTCATCATTGATTGATGCGGTATCGGTATAACGTTTATCAATATATAGTATCTATCTTTTAATTGAATTTCGCTAGAAATTAATTATATATTTTCAAATTAACGTTAAATTAATTAAAACCGAATTTCTCAAAATTTTCAAAATTATTAACGATACAATTTTGTGCTAATTACAAACGATATAATTATTCATACTTCTAATGATTAATTTGACGTAATTTGAAATACAATTAATGTCTTATGAATTAACATAATTGATTGCATTTTTGAAGTTAAAGTATTTAATTTATATTTTTGAAATTAATTACATTTTGAAATTAATGTATTAGGTTGAAATCATGGTAAAATTGAAATCCGTCGTGAAGAGATTGATTGATAATCTAACTTTTTTTTTATGAACAGATCACTCAGAGATCACAGGACCGACACTTTTTTCGGCACGACTAACTTAATGAATCAAAGTTACACAAAATAAATAAAAATCAGGACAAAAAGTCATCATCGATTATTGGTCTAAGCCGACGATCGACCTAGTTGCTGGCTTAGTCGCTCGCACTCGACATCTATGTCATTTTCACAGTAGTTGTGCAAATATTTAGCGCGAAAGAATTTTGCGAATAATCCACATATATGTTAAATATATTGTAATTGGTATAGATATAATAAGTAAAGGCCTCGTGTCCAATTGTCTAAAATTTGCATCATGTCAAATTTTCGTGTATATGTCAAAAATTACGCAACTCTGATATTTAGATTTTCACATGTTATCTTTGAATTCATCTTCGAAATTTGTAAATTTATACAATGTACTCGCTGACTAAGCATGGCTGAAAATACTGAATTAGCTATTTGCCTTGAAGAAATTTCTAAAATCGGTAAATTTTAATAGATGTCTCTTTCAAAATGCAGTCCATAAAAAAACTAATGTATTTATATGGGGCTTTGATGGTACAGTAAAAGTTGCCAGTAAAAAAAATTCTTTTTCGAATCAATCAAACGTAATCGTTTAGCTTATATATTTCTTTAATAACGCTCTCTACATTATAAAAGATTTTATCATGTCTGCATACACATCTTTGATCTTTAATAATGTCCCTTTCATAACGCCGCATCTTGAATCTCAGTACCTTTCTGAAAAAGTAATATCAGCTGCTGTGGCAATTCATGATCCACATTTTAAATCCGGTATAGTCCTCGAGCACGTCGGCCTTCTTGTAACAACCGATTCAAACCATACATTCTTAATTCATTCATGTCCTGTACCTCCAACTTATGGTACAATAATCGATCTATTCACTCCAGATCTTTGTAAAAAATATCGAATCACAAATTTTCACCTACCAAAGGACGACTTAAGAGTATAGAAAAACTTGATCTGAGTTATTAGAGCCAAATAGAGCTATAGACTATGTCACAAGGCTCTAATTCGAGATCACAGAATTAGACTACTAATTCTATAAGAATTTAACTTATCAGAAGAGGGTAATTATAGTGAATGTTTAAAGTTGGAATAGTAGACTTTCATTGAGTCAAATTCTAATGAGTTATAGGCATAGAACATTAACTAGTGATAATTAGCAATTACTTTATTCAAGATGAACTCTTAGTCTTTATATACATTTTTCAGTTGTTATCTAATTTGCTAATTCTATCTAATATATATAACATATCTAATATATATAATATATATAATGTATATAACATATCTAATATATCTAACTTATCTAACATATCTGACAGATATGACATATCTGACATATCTGTTAGATATAGAGATCTTTTCCGGCCCACCTTGATCTACTATGCCAAAAAATGATTTTAAGTCACAATTCACCCTTTCACATACTCCCAACCTTAATTTCAAGTTTCACAAGAAAAGAACCAAGTATAGAAACAAAAATACAAATATAAAATTTTTTTTTTTTTTAACTGCTCTCAGTGTTGTTATATTCGTCTAAATTATTTTCAAGTGCAGAATGCATAGAGGCAGCAATTATGGAGACCTGAAGCAAATGCTGGTACTTCTGAACAGGTAGTGATACAATTTTCACCAAATTCATATTGGTGGTTTGACTGATTTGTTCAACTCCAAGAAGCTCAAACAGCTCATAGACACAGACAGTTGCAGTGAAGTAATGGAGTATTATCCTAGCTCTTTGCATTATTCTTTATTTTGAGTAATTATGGCATCTAAATAAAAGGCATAAGTTAGGTTGCCAACTTTGTTTTTACTTCTTGAAGACCTTGTCATAGCTTGGTAGGTCCTTTGTATCTGCATTTCAACAGAGTCTGCAGTGGCATATAGAGATAGAAAGAGTATTACCTATTCTGGTTAGGTAGCTAGAAGGTCATTGACAAGAGAACTAAAATCTGTAGGCATCATTAATTATCTTGAATAATACAGTCAGGCACATTGCCAAAAATGGATAGTAAAAATCACACCTTTTATAGTATCGAAGCACCGATCATTTGGCATCTAGAAATTTCTTGATATAAATTCTAATTGGTTAAAACTGGAGGCTATATTAGTATAGCTTTTTGTATATGCCATTATTTAATATTTTAACTTGCTATAACTTGTCATATTTAGTGAATGTATTTATTCTTGGTTAAGCTATACAAACTTAATAAATTGGGTTTTATAACAAAATTTTAAAAATGGCCTGGCAAACTGGCTTTTTAATTTTTTTTTAAAAAATTTTATATATAAAAAACATAAAAAACTCACCCGGATAGTAAGTATACTTAAAACTTTTTATCTAAGGTTATAAATTTTAACTTGACCAAGTTATAAAAACTGATTTATTAAATTTATATAGCCTAACAACAAATTTTATTTTATTGAAATAGGAATTCATTCAGTTT